AGACTGTTCCATTCTTGCTGCAACATCTTCCACAATCTCAGGAGTTCTTTTTTTGGGCGCTCCGCTACCGGTTTTTCGTCCAACAGTCCCAACAAAACGAAATTTTGCGACACATAAATAAATTTGATGGACCAATTTTTGATAATCCATAGGAAAATTGGGGAAAGCATTTTGAAAATCATTAAGGCAATGATCTACAGAATACATCCATTCACCATTCTGTTGCCGTTCGGCGTGTTTCAAATAACTCTCAGTAAGAAAAATTTTATGCTCTAATTGAAACATTTTGAAATGCCACTTTGACAATTCAAATTTCAAATCAAAGTGTCAACATTAGTAGTGCCAACCTGATTCAAAATCCACAGCTTGCTCTAATTTATTATTTAAATGATCGCACGGTACTAGCTGATTATACAAAATTGACCAAACAGATGGTTCGAATCATTTATTTCTCCCGTTCAAGGTGCCTCGTGAAGAAATACACTGATGTAATACCACCATACAAAAGATCATATGAAGTTTGAATAAACGTTTATTTAAACTTAGATTTTTAATGAATGAAATCTTTGTTGATTGTTAAGCGATTCTGTTCAATATTTCAAACATGAAATGTTGATATTGTTGTCAATCATTTTTTGCTATTGCCGATTTCTCTTTATTGTGCACAAATTAGACATGTGAGGAGTCATCAAAATTTTAGATAACATTTCAAAACATCCAAATTTACGCCATTGTTATCGAAAAATAAACTCTAGATTTCCGATAAGTGATTTAATAAAAATAGAAATACGAGTAAATAAATAAAAATAAAGCACATTCTATAAGTATAGAGTACTGTTTATTTCATAATCCAATAAATACAATACTATATGTTAATACAATGTTATTAAGATATCAATTGTATCATAAAACCAACAAGAAAATCATTTATTTGCAGCAGGAACACTTTCCATCTTTGCAACATTCCCCAGTCTTGCAACACTCCTTCCCTTCTTTACAACCGGCACATTTTCCGTCTTTGCAAGCACATCCGCAGCAGGAACATTTCCCATCCTTGCAACATTCCCCAGTTTTGCAACATTCTTTTCCTGATTTGCAGCCGGCGCAACAGCAGCTGCAGCAGGAACATTTTCCTCCCTTCCCTTCTTTAGAACAGGCGCATTTTTCGTTCGTGCAGCAGGAACATTTCCCATCCTTGCAACATTCTCCAGTTTTACAACATTCTTTTCCTGATTTGCAACCGGCGCAACAGCAGCTGCAGCAGGAACATTTTCCTCCCTTCCCTTCTTTAGAACAGGCGCATTTTTCGTCTTTGCAGCAGGAACATTTTCCATCCTTACAGCACTCCCCTGTCTTGCAACATTCCTTTCCTGATTTGCAGCCCGCACAACAGCAGCTGCAGCAGGAACATTTTCCTCCCGTCTTGCAACACTCCTTACTGGCTTTAGCGCAACCTTCTTGACAGCATTGATTTTTAACACAGCAGCTGCAGTTTTGACAATTGCCAGTTTTCTTGCAGCAATCGGCCGAAACGCAATGTTGGTCTTTGCAGCAGTGGCAGTTTGCACAGCAGGATTGTTGTTTACAACAGGATTTTGCGTCTTTTTGCTCCATAATGTTGTTTCAACTGCAGAAAATCATAATAATAAGTATCCAAAGAAACTAATAATAAATTTAAAAATAACTTACCGTTTATTGGAGTTTATTAAAAGTTGGTGGTTTTGATTTGCTTCTCTAGATGTCGTCGTTGGATCTGTTTAAACCGATCCCGCGCGATTCGCTTTATACAAAACTTACGTTCCGTGTGCAAACTGTGTGCAATAACATGACGTAGTAGTACAAGAAATTTTCTGACTCATATTAAAAAATTGTGCTAATTAGCCTTACTTTAATTTTCGTACAAAATTTAATGACCTGAGTGTAAAAATGAGTAAAAAAATAAACATGAAATGAGAATGCTAAACAAAAAGTGCCTAATGTGATTTTACTACAGCACAACGCACTTTAAAAATATATTAGAGCCTGTAACAATTCATAAATATTGTTATTTACATTGTTTACTAAGAAGAAATAACAAATATTTGTAAGTTAATCAATTATTTTCCATAATATTGGTATATTTTTTAATAATGATTTAAAACAATAAATTCTCATCCTAATAGAATTATAAGACCAGTTTTATTTTACATAAGAAATGTTAAAAAATAATTAGAAAATTTTGGACACATGTTTTGCTAATTTCTAATAATAATAAGTCTAGGTATGCTATATATTTCACAGACAAAATTTTACAAAATAAAACAACTAAAGTGCAAAAAATCATTTATTTAGAAAGACATTTCATTTTTTTATATAAAATTATTGTAACCATTTATGGAATTCCAGAACGTTCGATTTTGCACACGGCACGCTTAAAAGCAACACATCCAGCACCGTGTGAATTCTTATCAGGTGACAACACCACAACCAGGCACAATGAGTAATAATAACATTGATAACATTTGGTAACAGAATTTTGTAGTATAAATATCTGGCATTACTTGAAATCGCATAAAAACAATATTTTCGAGGAAACAAACGATTCAGCCAATTGCCAAATCACAAAAAAATACTTGTGAGGTAAGACCGAATATGTAAATACCTAATTCACATTGAAATATTTTATTGATTAAAAAGAACAAAAAAAAACAAGAAACCCTTAATATTTTATTACAAATAATAATTAATAAACTTTTGTGGATTAATAAAATCGAGAAAAATAATAATAAATAAATAAAAATAATCGGTATTGTCCAAATTGACAAATTCATCGCTTAAACACTCCTGCAAGTATTCGGTAATTGGGTAAACATTGTGTAAAAACTGCTCGTATTAAAATAAATTATTTTATATACTTTGTGTTTGTATATAAGCGATATCTGTGGGAAAAGCACACTTGTTAGAAGAAGTAGCTGTTACTAATAGACACTTAGCTTTTGAAGTATAGGCGATAGCAAATATTGTGTTACACGAGTAGCTAACAATATGTAAACCAATACTTGGCCATGATAAGACCCTCAAATTATGTTATAAAACCGGATATTTCCGTGTCTTCACATTTACCCTTGGTTCGTTGTTTTCAGTTGTTAATTTTATGAAAGACATTATCGGAAATTGTGCAAGCAATGGCAGTAAATGCTAATGTTCTCGTTTCGGAGACGAGCGCCAATTTTTTCCACTCGTTTTCATATAAAGTAGTGTTTCAAGACGCCAAAATAAGACATTATGTCTTGCGTTTACTCCAGAACTGTATATAAATGGCGCATTAAGTTTAATTCGTTTTTATTGCAATTTGCATGGTGTTGTTTTAGGAGCGTTGAGAACTTTACCGAATTAATTAACTCGTGAAATAATTTGTTCGTCGAGGGAATAAAACGAAATTATAGTGTTGAAAGTTGATTATTTCAGTTTTTCATTCATGGACAAACGGCTACGTTAAGTCATAAAGAGATGTTGGTTACAGTGCAAACAAAATAACCACTTATTTCAGGATCGTATAATAAAAAGTAAAATTCATTCATATCTCAGCCGATGAAATTACTAAGCAGAATGTCGAACGGAGAAAAATGAACGAATATTGAACGAGTACGGTAAAAAAGGCCTCACGATGACTGGATGATTTTAGTACAATGAGCTGTCAGTGGTGGCAACATTAAGGCTTAAAATCCGGGGGGCGGTTACGGCATATTCGATCTTACAAACGAGACAACGTCCAATTAGCACCTTGTATTTCATTATTTCTGGACACATAATAACATAATAGTTGTATAATTTTATTTGCTGTTTTCAATTAAACCACCGGAAATACATGACACCTGTCTCGGAGGAAGTGCCTCGTCAAAAATCTAACAATTCTATCACTGTAACGATTCTTTCAAGAGTCATTTATGAACGGGATCAACATCAATCAGATGTTAACTTATGTTCAAGAAATAGAAGAAGATTATAAAGTGGGAATCGCTGGATGAAATATCGGCTACCCTAACTTCATAAATTAGATTATTTCTGTATTTTCCGCAAGAGAGTCGTTGGTTCGGTCGGCTCCACTCTTCACCATTACCCTCAATCATCATTCACTTATTCAGTGTTTATGGTGTTTCTTTTCCACGCAATTTCATCCGAAAACTTTCTAACTTACTAAAATATGGCGCTGCCACAAATATATTAATACGCTCTGTGGACTAAATGTAATCCCGACTCGAAATATTGTAACATTTTAAACATTAGAGCTTTTGGAAGTTCTCTGATTGTCCACAATTTTTAATAGCTTCAGCAGATGTAAGCAAAAAAATCTTCAAATTCAAAAATAATTAAATATGTACATACACAAAATTGCATTGTTTTTCTTTTAGAAAATTAAAAGAAACTACAAAATTTACTTCCTCTTTTACTTGCACGGATAAAAAGTAACAATTTTTTAAACCGTAGAAAATTTTATCACTATTATTAGTGTTTATCCTTGTTGTGGTGATATGTTTTTTCTACAATTTGTCAAACAATTATGTTATTCTAAGACACTAATAATAATTATACGCGTTTTATGAATACACTTTGTACAATAAAATTAAACATATTTGGTTTTTTTTTTTCTAAAAACTTTTTTTACTTAAAAATTTTACTAAATATAGCACAATTTCAATGGTAAATAAGAGTGAATTGTGAGGAAGTTCAATACAGAAGCCCAATACAGAAAACAACAGTTTGTGGAATGACTATAGGCAACCGCTATACTGGTGTGAATACAAGATCATCTAAATCGCCTTAACAAAAACCGTGTTCAAAAAATTTCGAAATTATGAAACACATTTAAAGTTTAAATCAATATTTACAATTAGATAGGAGTAGTTATTAAAATAAATATTTATACAAAAAATTATAATTAAATGAAATATCATGATAATGGTTCAAATACTCAATTTTTTTTTAACAAAATTTGTAATTACTTACTGAATTTTGTATCATATCTTTATGCCAATCAAATTTTTAAATTGTTAAGCACTGACAATGTACAGGGTGCGCCAGAACCCGCGCCCCAGAAAATAATTTCAAGTAAGATAAGATACCAGTAACATGGAAAAAATGTTAAAAAAATTCTGTGTCAAAAGATTTTGCCATTTATTTTTTGACATTTGACATTTTTTATGCCTATTTAATGACCCTGATAATCTTGTATATGTTTTTTCATAATTATTTAGTAAAGGTACAAAAATTTTACCAATAAAAGCCACAAATAACATTAAACAGAGTTACAATTTAAAATACAGCTTCTTCTAATAGCATGTAACAAAAAAAAACTTGTTATTTTTTTTAAGAGAAATAAATAAAGTCAATGTGCAAAATTTAAACACTCATCACTTCGAAATTTTTATAGACAGAATTGTTTTAAGATTTTCTTCCATGTTCCTGGTATCTTACCTTATATGGCATTTTTCTCTGAGGCCGCCCTGTATAGTATTTCTAAAAACTCTATTAAATTTACTTAAATTAAGTGGTGTAATAATAATCATTTTATGTGTTAATGAAACCAGTTCTGAAATATTATGAAATATTACATATTATAATCCTTAAATTTTTCAAAAAGTTTGTAAAGGGTAATATCCTACTTTATATCGTTAAAATGCATACCAATTGACCAAAAGCAGACCAATATAGAAGAGCTTTACATAAAACTTTTATAAAAATAAATATCTCTATTAACCGTAAACACCTATTTACAAAAACTCATCGTATTTAGTAAATTAATGTTAAATTATGAAATTTTGTTAAATCAAAATTTCAGTTTGATAAATGCATTAACATCATATAAAATTAAATATTTATGTTTTATCTTATCATA